TATCATCAGTAAGATTCTCGAGAAACTCTGAGGTGTATCGACTGAGATCGGTCACACTCATCTCGGAGCTGAGATTGTATTTTTCTACGATTTTAGTTGCGATAGCTGACATGATTGAATGTTATAGTAGATCGAGTAGGTCATGGACAGTTCTTTAGGTTATATACACTATAAAAAATATTTTTTCAAATCGAAATTAATTATCCTTCCCCCATGCTCAGAAAAAGAGTATATGCCTACATATGGGGTAACAGGGACATCAATTTGAAATTTACTATTACATAGGATATAACAAAAAAATTATAACTTCGGGGTAGGAGCCCAAGCTATATTAATGTAATGCTTGGAATAGATTCTATATTTTTCTATACTTATTTGTGTTTCCGCATTCGAAATGATCATCATACTGTGCTACTCGATCTCAGTACCGCAGCAATCATATGCGTTCACAGTTCTCACTCTAAAGTTCAGTTGTAAGATTTCTTTAGTTTGTTCTCTAATTAATATTAATATTAACCGTATATTAATATGGGCCATGACTCAGACTTAAGTGTAAGAATGAAACATACATACATATTACTAATATACTACTAATATACACAAGTATGTTAAAGTGACATGACACGGATATTATTAAGTGTAAGAATGAAACATACATACATACATATTACTAATATACTACTAATATACACAAGTATGTTAAAGTGACATGACACAGATATAGAAATATTATTTTTTTTAGTGAGAAAAATATTTGTCTTTACAAATTTAAATTGTTCACACAAGTAGTATTCATGCTCACAAACTACCTAACTTTTTAAAGTCTACTGCCACTTATCTATACCAATAACTTGTCATAGCTGATTTAGTTGCTGTCAGTATTTCTGAGACCGACGTTTCGATGGTGATGCATTTAGAGGATGTTCTGATGAAACCTTGTAGCTCTGTGTCTTCCGAGAAACTTCCTGCAGTGCTATGTAATAATCCATAAGCCTACTCTGTAATAGTAATACCAAGGAAATCCATAAATATATTTGGAAATTAACATAATAATAAGAAACTATGTTAGATTTATACCTTGAAAAAGTAGACCTTGTTCACAATTTCTTCCAACACATATGCCTGGTCAACATTGTCTGGTATTGTGAAATTCTCCATAACATTGGTAATATGAAGTCCACCATTTGTGCGATGCATACTATACATGGAACATCACGTTCTAAAACATAAAAGCAAATTAATATATAATAATCAAGATCAGATGAATGCTACATGATGTTACATACGATATACTAAAATGCCAAAGCTGAATATTCAAGATTTGATCTTCTGTTGCACCACGTTCCTGATGATGCTGGCACTGATAGAATATTGAGACTTGCATTACTATAAAGACAAAATAAAATGATTGCATGGAGACTGATAACTGAGAAACTGAGCCATGAGCAATAGCAAAGGACAGACCTTTGAAAAGCTTCTCCTTATCTTCTGCCTGCTTTTTGAGATCAACAATTATAGCATTTCCAACAACCTCCATGAATCCCACTTCCATTGACTTGGCATTGACATGGACTGCTGTCAGGATACCATCATGCTTAGCCAAGGTTTCCATGCATCTTCTACTATCAGTTTCATTTTGCTGTCACTTACGGACTCTGCATTCTACCTCCCCACTAAATATTATGGATGAATAAAATATAGAGAATATTAAAATAACAACCAAAATGCTATCAACATACCTGTTAAAATTAATTTTGCCAACTAAATCATCAAAGGCTTTTACAATAATTATAAAAGCACGTTTGGATAACTCATTTTGCAAATCAGACTGATCTGTAGCACCTTCATCTTGCTTTTGTTCAAGTCTACGTTTCCAATCCTATTTAAAGTAAAACTAAAAGTAAGCACATACAAATTATAATACAGGAGACCAGTCAGCGTACAGCCCCTATCCCAACATGTGGGCCACAGCGACTAGCAGTACAACACCCTGGGACCTAAATATGGCATTAGTATGGTCACTGGTGTGCCGCAGGAGCCACCAAAGACTCTTAGGGATGTAATTTTACGAATCCTTATCCTTATTATTATGTTAAGGCCGCAGCGAACGCATTTGCTCAGCACCAGGAGTCCTCCATTGGGACCTCTTTGAAAACGCGCTGACAGTCCGACTTCATGATCTTCACCATAACTCGATCATATCCTCTCATAAAGTCGTCCATAATGGTCTCATGACCGATAGGACAGGATCTAGCAGATCATGACCAGTGACTAGCAGACCTGGCTTCATCCAAATCGATCAAATATTCACAAGAAACACGATACCTTCCAGCGATCAAGTATTAACTGCGCCTTTCTTTTTTTCGTCAAATCAAAGCTAGAATCATTGGACGTAATGGCTTTCAGGTCCTTCTTCATACGGTCATAAATTTTTTGCTTGGATTCCATCTTCTGTGACCGGTAATGTTCAAAGATATTGCTTCTGGTCCACGCGTGAGTGAAGTTGGGGAAAATTTTTTTCCAACATTTATTGCGCTCACATGACATCTGCCAATAAAAGTTTTTGTGCAATCCGATTCTGTGCCACAGCTGCTGCAGATCGCCACAATCACCACGAGCGCCACCCAAAAATTTGGTATCATGTGATATCGGAAACAAAGTTGCGGTTTTTAGAATACATAAACTACTGTATGACACTACAGAACGTTTTGTATTTGTTAATTCGGGCTGGGCTTTATTATATATCAATTTGAAACTCGAATACAATGTTTGAACTCAAATCGGTTTACGAGTTAAACATTTTAGCATTAACTGCTCTATTTGTGGCTTTTACTTACGATAGGAGACATCAAACGTCAGAACGATTGAAACGTTTCAGAAGAACACTGTGAATAATATTACAAAGGCATCTACCAATGTCATGGCAAAAGCGATGGGACGAGTGAAGTGTGGTCTCAGAACAACTATAAATTAGATAGCTGAGTAGTGATATTCCGTCAACAAAAAGCTTTCATATACAAAGTCGTAGAGTGACAGATACATAAACGATCAATAAATACTTTTCATATCACAATCTTGTTTTATTTCTGATTTTGATTCAACAATGAATACCATCGATATTACCGACGTTGGCACGCCATGCTCTTGTTGCAATAATATTAATATTAAGACTGGGCATCAAGGCCACAGTGCTATGATAACATAACATATAAATCTAAACCTTATAGGCCTTGTGTTGCTAAAACCAAATAAAGATTAATTATATCTGACAGTTGTATACATGAACAAAAGTATTAAGAAGTGTAAAAGTGTAATTGTGGTAAGAAAGCTAAAGGAACAAA